TTGAATAATCTAAAGAATGATGATCTCCCTCATTTTTCTTTCTTATCATTTCAAAATGTATTTACAGAATTTATGCACTACTGCTTTTTTCTAATGACTAATGGTTCATTTTCGAGGTTTGTGGGATTTATTCATCTGAAGGTAGTGTTTATCATGGACTGGTATCATTTGCAGAACAATCGAATACCTAGGAGCTCTGGACAGCTGTTTCACCCCAACACGGCACTCCTTAGCCATGCTCACTCATGACCTCGCGGGAGATAGAGCTTAGGTCCATCACTAACTGTGGCTAGCAAGTTACTATTGAACGACTGGGTCGGAATCCAGCGTTCCACATGTTCCTACTTACAACTAACGCTAGTCTGTGATGAATCAATCCTTACAAACAAGTGAATTACTATCTAGTACTAGTTGTTGACATGCTTTGAGGTGGATTTCCCTAATTTCTATTGAGAAACCGTGATTTGTGTACTTAATCGATTTGGGTGCGGAGAAAAATTTTCTCCAGTGACACTAGATGACAGTCGCGCTATATCACGAATATGTTAATGTATTAAAAGATGAATATATGAAAAAAGTTACTTTCACTTTCAAGTTCAGCACTTCTACACTTCAAACAGAGTAGACAAAATGCAAGTTAAACACTGCCGTTTATTTACATTTAAAATGTGTCTGTAAAAGAAAAAAACCCAGGTGAATTCATATGAAAGAAGCTGTGTTAGTGAGTCATCCACAGAACACGTAAACTGATGTAATGAATTCGAAACTCATCAACACAAAACTGGAAGTGACCTTTTAAGTAATCACAAATTCCAAGTACAAACCGGTTCAACAGTTTTGTTTCAAAAACAATTAGGATAGTTTTGAACCATGAGAATTAAATGATTGGAAGAAAAAGAACTAGTTATCCAATGAAGTGAGTACTTTGACCTGTCAGAGTTATATTCTGGTTAGACTACCTAAACATGATGCGAAGTTACTGCCAGTTTGTTTTCAACGCAGATTACTTTGTATCCTTAAGCAGCAGTTTGATGCACAGAGTAGTAGGGTATGATTAGGTGTACTTTATTAGTAATTATGTCTTGGAAAAAAGTTATCAGTAAATTTTTGTAGGAAACCTGTACGTCTGAAAAATATTTTAAATTATGCGTCAGGTCTCTAAACTCTAAGAAAAATTCTCTCACTTTCTAAAAAGGGATGAAAATTATCATATACAATCATCAAGGAAAAGAATTAGGCAGGCAAAAAGATGAACAGTTTCTTCCAGTGTTCCTGTTTTGGTCATGATGTTGAAAAATCTTGTCATGGACAACTGTGCAGGATACTGAGCTGTAATAATCTCATGATGGATGAATTATTAGCCCATCCTGACGATTTATACAATGGTTGGTTTTCAATATTTTAATTATCATTCTTTGCAAATTTATCTTGACCAGAGTTGTGACTAATCGGCTTGAGCACTTGACTCTCAGTCACTACAAACTGATGTTGCAGCCTTCAAGTTACTAATCATTTGTATTGTTACGTGAGCAAACAGATGGACTGGCATTGATATACCTAATAATGTTTGACTAATCGTAGAACCAAGCTGCTGATAATTTAAAAATTCTTCTTGTTCAGTATGCATAGTTATCTGTTCTTTGGGAAAATGGAAGTAGGGAGCTCATGAGTTTCATTCATTGTGTACTGAGTGCTACTTATAGGAATGTATGTAAGTAATATATACTATAACGATGATAATAATAATGATCGACTGGTGAAGATTCGGGCAAAAAGAAAAAAAATACCTAGGGCAAGAACATGGCAGAATGAGATGCATAAAAGGAAATTGTCTGTGAATGGGCACCATATTGCAAAATTTAGTATTTCCATAATTATTAGTTGTATTTTCTCAGTGAATGATATCTATTGCAGGTTTGGACATCATTTTGCAATTGACTCTCAATTTTACTGTTATACTCGTCAGTCAGTATCTTATGGACTGTCATTTTAATCGTTTTGGAAACGGCTTCGTTCTACCTGTAAATGCTTTATGAGCGCTTTTTTCAGAAAACAGTGTTTGATATTTATCTTTCGCGACTTTTAATAGCTAGAGCTGAAGGGAAACTCTAGCCAATGGAATTACTAGTTTTGGTTACCAACTTGATACTCTATTGAATGGTTTGCGAAGCCCAACTGATTACGATATCTCACTCTAGATTTGGTCGTTGATTGTTGTATATGAATGTTATTTAAGTAGATAATTATCTTCTGCTTACTTTTTTTTATCACTGTAACTTTTTCAGATCACTTGATTGGATAATCGAAATAAAGCTTCCCAGTTTCCTCTGGGACTGATAAAACCAGCATGATGTAATAATATTGGCTGCATATCTCCAATTTAAACTACAGTCAGATTGGAATTCACAGTCCATTATCAGTAAGGTTTTGTAGCTGAGTTTATAGAGCAGTAGACCGGTAACAATATACTAGCTATTTGGAATCTGTACTCACCAATTTTCGTTGTATATAAAGATTTATTTGTCAACCAATGATTTCTTAGACAATGTAGTCGATTTACAATCAGTTTCTTACCCATTTATTTCAGGTCGATTTGATGTAGGGTTAGATTCCCTTTTTAAATAGGTGTATTCAGTAAACATGTACATATGACAGGAACTTATTTTTGTATATAATTATTAGACTTGCTTAGTTGATTGATTTTGAGACACTATTCACAAAAGGTTATTTGATCAAAAGCTTCAGAATGTCAGCTTTGTAATAAAAATAATTGTCTTTTTTACGAATCAGCTTGCGAAAATCAATCTTCGACTGATATACTGAATATGTGTTCCATTTAGTATGCGTTTAGAAGAACATTGACTGACAAAACTTCAAATTCTTGTGTTGTTTCAAACTGAATAACCTCTGAATTCTGATCTAACATTTGATTATTTTAAAAAAACTGGTCATGATGAATGATTGTTTTAAATTAGTTTCAGGATAGGGTTGAATATGTTTTACTGTTATAGCTTTTCAAACTATAAGGAATTTTTTTCGATGCTGCCAACTTTTCATTTCATTTGATTTATTAGATATATATCATACAGTGAAGGAATTGTATTTTTGACTGGATTACATTCCAAAAACAATTTATTTTCCATAGTCACATCAAGGCAAGTGTAGAACCTTGAAAAATGGTTTATGTATAAGTTATACTTTGCATGGATGTCTGATCTAAGCTTATTCAGCAAAGTTATCTTTCTTTAGAGATAGAGAGAACCAAAGTGAAGTTTATAGTTTCTCCTTCAGAAATCTTAACATTTTTGTGTTTCAGGCTTTGAGTTTATTCAATTTACACGTGCTTTTGTGACGTTATTTTTCTCATAAGGACCGGAATCCAGATGTTCCCTGGCCTTTCTCTCATAATCTGAAGAGTTCAAAAGCACTGCAGTATTTTTTTTGTCCGCTCCGGTTATGATGATTGTTTTGTCACTGAGTAGCTGTTTTAAAGCGGACAATTCGTCTTTATTTATATTTTGTATATTCTATTTTTGATATAATACTGCATTAGATATTTTATGTCACACATCATTCACTGCTTCATTTGTAAGGTTTTGTAAAGCCTATTAACTTGTAGACACCATCTCAAAAAGCGATAAACGTGGCCTATTTACATTGAAATTAAGACCTTTCTGGAGGAGTGATAGTTCATGTTTAGATAAATTCCGACTGAAAAGATTCACTACTATTTTATTCATATCGACATTTGGTTAAATGTGCTGGGATTTGTATTTTCTTGAAGCATTCGTTTAAATATTTTGTTTTGTGGCTTCTTAGATGTTTGGAGGTGATAGTTCTCTTGATATATGACAAAATTGTCCATGTTCAATTTTAACTCATTCCGTACAAAGGAGGATAATACATCATCAATATTCTTGATATGAAAATGAAGTATTTCCATACTGCACGTGGCTCCATGAATTCGTTGTCTGATTAAAATTCTTGTCGCTGAGATGGTTGCCCTGATAGACCGTATGGAATTATTAGGTGCTTTTACACCTAAAGATTTCGGATAAATATGTTGATGGACCAGAATTCTATGCGAAACTCTGGAATTTCTCATTTGAAACATGTTAAGATTTGTCCAAATATAACTTATATCTAGTATCAACTTTTCAAACCGGTGCCCTATATTCGCGAAAATTTACAGTCAAATCTTGAACAGAACCAATATAAATTATTTGCGTGGTTTATCTGGTTCTAATTCTTTTTTCTTCTTTGGAATATTGGTAGTAGAATTTTCCATATATGTGGAGCAGGTTTTGAATTATTTCTGTTCCAAGTATTTGGTGTTGGTTAGATACTTAAAACTATTCCATGGTCCCATAGAGATAATTCTGAGTCTCGTACAAATAAACGAATGTCTCTTAAACGTGCCTAATGGATAAAAGAGTCAGCGCATCAGCAGACTTTACAGTTTTAATTGACCTGTTTAGATAATTTGACGTATACTACATCAGTTACTGTCAATTAATTTGTTATTGTTATCGTCATAAGTGCTTTATTCTAAACAGCATATGTGGTGCAGTATGGAATTCTCAGAATGTATTAGTTCAACAAATTCATTCTCTGTACAATATCTTTTAACGAAATAAGTATTACATTCGAATAATGTTAATAATAACAGTAATAAAAGTCACACTGTGAAACAATCACCCGCTTCTAAATTAGCGTCTTGTTTGGACTGGGGAATGAATAGTATATCGAGCATAGTTTTGGTGGTGGTAGTTTACTCAACTGGTACCGAGATCTGTAATTCACCATAGTTATCCAAGGAATGGTAATGTGCTATTGTAGCGCATTCGAACTCTCACTCATTCACCTTAGAGTTTCGCCTCACCTCGTCGTTGTCCAGCTCTACCTTTTGCCAGCTATCTTTTATTATTAAATGTAAGTACATCCTATGTACTTGCCAAGCCGTCGACTCACCTTTCTTCTCTTCCTTTTTTCTTCTCTAGGTTCTCGTGGCCACCACCAAACTTACACAGCTCTGCATGCCCCCTGCAACAATGTACCTATCTACAGACTGAACGAAAACTAATCAACAACTAGTCATTGCACTATATTTCTGTGCGTTTATAAGCCCACCCGTCACCAGAGTATGATTCATTTTTAGTTTTATTGTTAGCTTGAAAAAACAGCAGTTTGAAACCATTTCAAAAGTATGCAAGAGTACTTGAGTAGTTTGAAAAAAATTTTTAAAAGATTAAAACCAATTGAAAGGAAAGAATATGATGAATTAAATTTGGTGGAAAATTTGCAGCAGCCCAAAGTTCAAGTGGGCCTCTGATCAAGAATGAACGATGTTGAATTATTATTTAGTACAGTTTTCCAGTGCTTCACTTTCGCTTCCACTGGTTGTGACGTCACATTTCGATAGCTTATACAAACGTGACCGATATACATTTCACAATAAGCAATTACTATGTAAAATAAACAACATATTTTTAACCTTTTCATCGTTTAAATTAGAATCTCTTTGTTCCAAAATTTAGATTAATTGACTTGCGTTCATTCAGGTGAATTAGTAATTATGTACCTATCTTCAGTCTGCTATTGAATGTGTTAACATTTAAAGATATAACATTTTCTTCCATTCAAATATGTCATAGTTCTTAACTTTCATACTTATTCAGTGTATTTAAGATTACATTTTTCCTGTTTTCGTTTCTGCAAAGTTCAACCTCATTATATTTGTCAGGCTTGTCAGGAGAAATTAACAAGGTGATGTGTAATCAAAGCACTCTTCACCGCCTTCTATTTGTTAAATATTCAAACTCATAACTACTATTCAAATAGGAACTCTTCAGTATCATCACTTGTTACCTTCTCTGTTGAAGCATATCTATACATGACAAGGCAACGCAAATCATTGTTTATATTAAACTTTAAGAGATCATTGTAAGAATTTTAAAGTAGACAATTATAATACTTATATTTTAGATTAAAAAAAATTTGGTTCATCAAAAACTATAAATGATAAACAAAATGACAAATTTCAACGGAAGACTCGTTATTTTCACCGTTATGGGGTAGACGATGCTACAGTGGACAAGACTTCAAAATTAGATTACTGTTTAATTGAAGCATGCATTAAGCAAATGACAAGGAAGTGTATTAGGCCATCATATAATATTGAAAACACAAGTAAGAAGATTCATCAACTCCTCATGAATGATTTATAATTCAGTATTCTTGCAATTAATACTTCTCACAACCATATCAGCCACTGAAACCGTTTAATATAAGGAAACGTTTTTAAAATATGTTTAACCAGTTAAGTGTTACGGTCAAAAGAACTCAAATTAGTTTGTTTACCTAGTTTCAGTTGTTTTGTGCGAATAGTTTTATACATCTTTCGTATCTTAGGCACAAAGTGACTTATCTGTTTTAAACCTTAATTTCAAAATAGATGCTTAAGTCATTTATCTTACAGAAGAAAGAGATGTAGTTTCTGGTAATATTTCTCCTTGATTTGTTGGTGAGATGTGGTACAGCATAAACCCTATCATGAAACGACTTTTTGTCACGTAATCTATTCAGTAGCTCTGTTAATTTTATGGAAAGTCAATGACTAATATTAGCAGTTATAGACAGTATTTCCTGAAATCTTCTGCAGTTTGCATTTCTAGTCCTGAGGAAAAATAACTTTTCAAAAACTAATCAAAATTGTCATAAATTTTGGAACATACATGTTAAATAGCAGCAGTCATGATGTGATGAACTGTTCACTTTTTCTTGTGTAATGTGCTTATCCAAATCAAAAAGGCAATGTAAATCGCTAAGGCATAGGACAAGCAGGGTTGAAAGCAGCGAAAATTAAAAATAATAACCAGAGGAGCTGAAATTACAAGAAAGCCTTGTTAGAACTCATTTCCTTATGTTTCTGATGAAATATCTCAACGTTATGTTGAACTAGAAAACTAATGAAAAACACAGTAGAATCGCCACCAACTTGGATTTATGGTAGTAGTCAATAAGATTTTAGATCACTGGACCGTTTTACTGAGAATTTCGCCTGTTTAGTAACATTCATATTAGTTTTTGTGTTGTTGCTTGCATTATCCCGTCGCTGACTGGGACGAATCGATCAGTCTGTATTAGCATATGGGCTCCACTACGAATACCATGATATTGCCTGTCGTTTCAGTTTTATGGTAATGATGGATGGTGGTTAACAGGGAAATAAATCCAGGATATGTGCTTCGTCGTATTTGAAACTAGCCAGCAACATGTACCCGACTTTCAATGAACAGTGTTGTCCCCACCAAGACTTGTGACTCTATGGCCTAGAGGAAAACGCTGTAGAGTTTGAAGCGAATGATCCCTAGTTTGAGATTTACCGGGAACAACATCTCTTGCTAGGAAACAAGCGCATATACCTGACGAGTCTCAAATAGGATGAAACGCCTGTCCTGGATTCCACTGCTACCACTATCCATCATTACCACTCAAATTAATTTTTCAAACTTAGCTGAAAAAATTGCAAAACGATGAGACAGTTAATTCAAGCATCATAATCTCTTTTTCAGTCACACTTCTTACGTTCCTATGCATAAGCAAACAAGAAACTGTTCACTTTAAGTAATTTATCACCGTCTGAAAAAATGGAAACCACCCTACAGGATTCTGGTTAACTGGTAAGTCTAAAAATTTGCAGAGTTCTAGTTTAAAAGTTAAAAAGTTTTTGATTTCAACTTTAGGTAACAATTTTCTCGCACTGCATTTTAATGTTAACATCTTTAAACAAGTATGGTGATGGAAATGCATTCTGAAATCGCCAACTGAACAGCAAATTTCCATTTAATTACTTCATTTGTAAGACAGTGATATTTCTAGATAGAAAAGCTTCATATTATCTTTTCATTCTCCTGAGCATTTGCCGAACAACCAAGTTATTAATTTACATAAATGTCATAATAAACGCAAGACAAGTGAAGATTTTAGACTAACCACAAGAATAAAAGTTGTCCTTCAAATAATAAGTAATACCAAACTTGACAATCGAAAAGCAAGTGTACTATTGAGTAGCTTAAACTCACTGGATGATTTCTGATCTCTATTAAATTGCACCTGTTAATTGGTAGTATGAAGAGTAAATTTCCTTTATGTGCACCTTTATTCACAAAGTCATTCAGTAGTTCAGTAGTCACTTATTCCTCTGCCTTGTGTTGATACGTATGGAGATGTACAGCCAGTAAGCTAGTTTTAGTCAACAACTGTCACTCGATCACATCAACAAGTAGAGACTAACCAATAAACCTTATTGAGACTAGAATTTCGCCACCTGTTGGCGACTTATTAGCGTATCAGATCAATAAACGATATGACTCAAACACATTACACCAACTATATGTTAAATTCTTTTTGGGAAATACATATGAAGAGCCATCGTAGGTAGCGTGGTGTACTGGTGGAAGCAAACAGCATACTGACAAATTTCGTTCAATATATTCACTCCGTAAGCGGCAGAAGTGGTAATGCTTCAGTCTGCTTAAATCTCGACCAAGTGTGTTTGTTTTGAATAAATAATAAAACCTAAATAGCAATTTACAAAAAGAAATGAGTAGTAAGCAAATGTAAATAGACTTGTGAAGTGAGTAGTAGTTTTTAAACTATCCTTAACAATGGACGGTAGAGTGGAATGGAATTAAGCAAAACAGAACTCTTTGTCAAGGCCATGGTAAAGAAACAGGCTTCACCAAATGTATCTTTTACATAGTTTAGGCTTTTGACCACGCGTAGGTAGTGCTTCAGCTGTGTGTAAACGGTGAAAACATAGACCTTTAAAGTGGTCCAACTTAGCCTTTAAAAGGCGAATCACGAGGAGCGGAATTATCTGACCACGGCAGGTGTTCATATATGGATGAATTTGTACTTTTTCACTCGGTATTGGTTGAGCAAATCGAGTTGTGTTTAGCAAAGCTTTTCCAAAGGACCCAATTACAACTTCCAATAGAATAAGTCCTAGGAGTGGACTTATAGGAACATATTGATGTAGACTGATCGGGTAACCTGTCATTCGCTCATTGTCGAATCGAAATGCAGTTTGAGAAAGTCAACCATAGGCTAAAGGCCAATATATTTCGATAGATGATTCTTCAACACTTCAGCTGCGGCATCACATTATTATTATTATTATTTGTCCCTTGAGTTCCTAGTGGAACATACGGCTTCTTTAGCACGTCTCCAGTGCACTCGGTTCTCGGCATCACATTAGAATCTGGAATTCATAATTCAAGTTTTCTTAGGAGTAACTTTTTTCTATAAACTTCCTTCAGTAAATCTCCCGAGGTGTTTATTATTTAACATTGTTATCCTAGGAGCTTTCACTTCATCACTGACCACTTCTTCTGAGCAGATTTTCGAAATTCTGAAACTCAGTATATGAATAACATTTCGTTTTCTATTAAAAGGTATCTAACGGTTAGATTTGATAAACTGACCAATCCAGGTTAGTTTGCGATACAATGACCTAGTGAATTAATATAGGTGTAAAACTTGGGCACTGTGGTAAATTTAATTTTATATTAGATTTGTTTAGAAGTAGTATTCATCATGGACTGACATCAGCTGGGGAACCACTGAGAATCTGGGAGCACTGGACAGCTGTCTCGTCCTAGTATGGGATTCCTCAGCAGTACGCACCCACGACCAGGCTAGGGGTCGAACTCAGGACCTTCAGGTTTCACGGCGGACGCGTTAACCATTCAGCCACTGGGTCGGTTTCCAGTGGTTCACAATTTCCAACTTCTGTCAATTCTATACATAGCGCGACTGTCACCCAAGGTCTTCAGTTAGCATCCACTTCACTTCCGACTGGCTGACCCCACAAATCACGACTTCTCATTAGAACTTCCTAACATCCATCTGGAAGCAAGTCACTAATGAACACTATAGAGTAGTGTATTTTTGAGATGAATGGGGATTTTTAATTGAGAAGTAGTAATCATCATGGACTGACATCAGTTGGGGAACCATTGAAAATCTGGGAGCACTGGACAACTGTCTCGTCCTAGTATGGGACTCTTCATACTGCTTACTTCTGAGGAGTCCCATACTAGGACGAGACAGCTGTCCAGTGCTCCCAGATTTTCAATGGTTCCCCAACTGATGTCAGTCCATGATGATTACTACTTCTCAATTAAAAATCCCCATTCATCTCAAAAATACATTAGATTTGTTTATTTGATTTATAACACACAGTGATCTAGTATTATTTACTTGATGATGTTTCAAGCATAAATTACTGCTCATATTGCTCACATTGATATGATTATGAGCAACAATTTATGCTGGAAACGTCATCAAGTAAATAATACTAGATCACTGTATGTTATAAATCAAATGAACAAATCTGATATGGAATGACCTAGTGAAACATAATTTCTTCATAAATTCATATATAAGAAGTGAAACGCTGAAATTGTATCTTCTGTGATAGAACCTTATAGACGAGTGACTGTCATCTAAGTAGTCCTTCGAGTAGACACGTTTCGTTAAATGTAAGAAAATTATTGTCCATGTACCTTCTAAGCAAAATGTTTTTGAAATTATTTTTTTTAGTGACCTATTTTTGAGACTTTTTATG